AACCCAGGAGGTAGAGGTTGCAGTGAGCTGAGATTGCGCCACTGCACTCCAGCCTGGACAAGAGCAAAACTCTGTCTTAAAAAAAAAAAGCTCTCAGTTTAAAAATATCAAAGGCAAAAACAAAAGCAATAGATTTCAACCACAACTTTGAACCAAAGTCCTAAAATAATAAACTAGGGGATGGGTACAGTGGCTCACGCCTGTAATCCCAGCACTGGGAGGCCAAGGTAGACGGATCACCTAAGGTCAGCAGTTTGAGACCAGCCTGGCCAACATGGTGAAATCTCGTCTCTAACAAAAATACAAAAATTAGTCGGGCGTGGTGGTGCACACCTACAGTCCCACCTACTTGGGAGGCTGAGGCAGGAGAATTGATTGAACTCAGGAGGAGGAGGCTGAAGTGAGCCAAGATTGTGCCACTATACTCCAGCCTGGGCAACAGAGCAGGACTATCTCAAAAAAGCAAATAAATAAAATAAATAAATAAAAGTAAATAAACTACATACTTGCTTCTTCAAGCTTATAAAGTATTTGAATAATTTCAATTTCTCCCTGAAAAAAAGAAAATTTCTACCTTTATACATTTACTAACTCCCATTTTAGACATGTAAACTACTATCTTAGAGCTCCAATATTTCCAGGTTGCTTTTGTTGTTGTTGTTTTGTTGTTGTTGTTGTTGTTGTCTGAGACAGAGTTTCACTCTTGTCTTCCAGGCTGGAGTGCAATGACACAATCTCAGCTCACTGCAGCCTGGACCTCCTGGATTCAAGTGAATTCTCCTGCCTCAGCCTCCCAAGCAGCTGGGATTACAGGTGCCCACCATCACACCTGGCTAATTTTTATATTTTTGTAGAGACGGGGTTTCACCATGATGGCCAGGCTAGGCTCGAACTCCTAACCTCAGGTGATCTACCTGACAGCCTCCTGAAGAGCTGAGATTACAGGCGTGAGCCACCAGGCCCGGCCTTCAGTTGTTTTTAATAGAACCAATACTCCACTAACATCTCTTTGATAAGAAACAGATTTATAGTTCTATTTGTATGCTTCTAGAGAAACATCTATCTCCATTCTCATATTTAAATTTATGTGAGAAAACAAAGACAAAACAATATATGTAAAATAAATTTCAATGTGAACCCAAGAAAAAGGATTTGTCTGAGCTGCGAACAGGTTTTCATAACAGCCTATCCACCCTATTGTGTAGGACAATACAAACTCAAGATAATCACTATAACAAATTTTTTAAATCTGCAATTGCCAAGAAATCAAGGAGTACTAACGCACAATTAAGATAGGAATCAAGGGCCGGGCTCGGTGGCTCACGCCTGTAATCCCAGCACTTTGGGAGGCCGAGGCGGGTGGATCACGAGGTCAAGAGATCGAGACCATCCTGGTCAACATGGTGAAACCCC